ATAAAACTTAAACATATTTTCTACCCTAGCTACCCTTCCAAAACCAAAAACCCGACTCTCTCTCTCTCTCTCTCTCTCGGTTGCTCCCTTTCCGTCGTCACGCTCCCTTTCCACCGTCGCCCTCCGTTTCCGCCGTCACGCTCCCTTTCGCCGCCGCCTGTCTCACTCCCTCTTTCTCTGTCTCTACATCTCCGTTCGATGGATCTTCGTTTATGGATGTAAGATTCTTGTTTCGAACTTCATTTCTATGGATCTTTCTCTCTTTACCTTTATACGAATTCTTTCTATCTCATTTAACTCGTTGTATATATATGTCGATTTAGTTCATCCGATATATATATATATATAGACACACACACACATATATTATAGCTATATACGTAGCTATATATATATATATCTATATAGTTATATATAATGTATGACCAAAATAAGGAAGATATGATGCAAAGTATATACATAAAATATAGAGAAAAGAAGTTCATTCTAATATATTTTTTTAAACAAATTCTTATAACATTTCAGTTTAATATGTCCCGTTATAATTTCAAAAAAATTTATTTGCCTATCAATACTTCTTTTTGATGTATAAATATGTATTTTTTTATAACAAATTCTTATAATATTTTAGTTTAATATTTTTTTAACATATTAATATACATATAATTATTTTATATATTATATATTATATTTTATATATAATTATTACTCCGTATTAACTTAATATATCATATAAAAGTCCCTACATCGGACGGAGTGTGTGTCTGGATATAGGGCTGTGATGATATGGAAGGACTGAAATCCGTTATGGTGAATTTTTAGGATTTTAATGTTTGATGCGTCAAAGAAAATGAAAGTATCTTAGCGTGACGTAATGGAATTAACCCCCGCTGTTGCAGCCATGGCGATTTCATTTCTTATATTGCCTCAAACTTAAAACCAGATTAAAAAACTGAGCCTTTATTGTATATTATTATATGTATATATATACACGTGATGTATGGCATTATATATATATATATATATATATATATATATATATATAATGTAAAGAAGGAAACACCATTGTCTTAAACTTGTCATTGATGTGGAGAGTTGGATGCTCAATGAGAAATAGAAATAAAGAATGAGAAATAAGAAAAGTGGGAACCTGAGAATTTGTGATGTTGGTGAATCAGAGAATAACCTATTATTTATACTATCAGTATTTGTGAGATTGGTATGAGATATAATGGATGGATTTGACACAAAGTTATTTTTTCATCTACTTTATGGAGCTACTCAATTTTTTTTTCCCAATGCAACTTTATGCACTCACTAAAATTGAATCGACATAAAGTTACTTTTTCATCTACTTTATGGAGCCACTCAATTTGTTTCTCAATGCAACTTTATACAACTTTTTATCAAATCTACTTTATGGGGTAACTAAATTTTTGTTCCCCAATGCAACTTTATGGAAGAACTAAATTGAATAGACATAAAGCAATTGCATTGAGCCCAACACCACGCCAGGCCCAAACCCGAACCACAAAGCAGGCCCAAACCCGTCCACCAAACCCTCACTTTAGGCGGGAACACTATTCACAAAATGCACCTAGCATTGTATATACTAGGATTATAAGTTCTTTGGGCCAACAACAAAGAATGGCCGACCCAACACATACGTTTAGATTGTGGGGATGTGGACCATTTCTCATTTTTGCAAATTCAAACAAGTTAGGTTCACTTTGTCTACCTAAAACACTCTTTTTTCTTCTATGCCTTGGATCTCTTTTTTTTTTAAACACCTTGGATCTCTTAAATCTACCAAGACTATTATGTGTAGCATATAGTCTTGCATTTATTAGAGCATCTCCCGTGTAGAGGCTATATGCTAAAATTTACACGATTACACTTTGTGTTTAACTTTTTGACACTCCAAGGGAGAAGGTAAAACAAATGCTAAAATACAATATAGAGTAAAATACAATTGGCAAAGTGTATATATACAAGTTGGTTGTAGATATGAACATGAATAAATGTAAAGTATGGAGTATATTATACAAAACATGGTTGGAGTAGTTATTAAAAAGTGAAAGTGTAAAATAATGTTGATAGTGTAAAATGTAATTTACACTACCAATTTTTACACTATACATTGGAGATGCTCTTAGAAACAACCACACTCTCCATTGAAATCATTTTATACTATTCCATATCATTTAATACAATGTTCATTTAATTAACGATCAAAATTTATTTTATTCGAAAAAGTCAAGCTTGAAAAAATGCTTTAGAATTAAATACTACGCCAAAAACAACATCAAACTAGAGACTACTTTCTTCCAAAAAACAGTAGTTTAAAAAATAGACTACCATTTATTTTTGTTGACTAGAAAATAGTTGTGTAACTTTTAAGCTGATAACTATTTGTAAAATAATGAGAAATAGTAATCTATTAATTGTAGTCTGTGTCATATGAGAATACTATTTTTGTTACCACAATTGTCTAAACAAAGTTAAGACAACTCTTTGTAAATGGTAGTTTGACATGATATTTTTTAGTCTTACTCGTGAAAAAGTCATGTAAGGCTATCATAGAAACTACTGTTTTTAGATGTAGTAGTGCAAACAAAGTTAATACAATAGTATTTAACAGTAGTTTGATTTTTACGTAAGATTACTATTTTTGAAGAAATAGTTATCTGAACGCTTTCATACGGACTATTATCTGTTGTGATAATAGTGTAAACTAAGTTAAGTTTAGTGTGTGTCAATAGTAGTATGTTGAGCTATGCATGACTACTGTTTTTAAAAATATATGTCAAAACAATCATATAAACAACTATTTTTATCCACAATAATGTAAACTAATTCAAGAGTATGTGTTTAATAGTAGTTTTTTGAGCCACATTACAAATAGTGTTGTATCAAAATCCCCTCTTTTGCATTTTTGGAAGTTAATATTGTCGATTTAACCCTACATTAATGGAATGAATCCAACCGAAATAAGATTAGATATAGCAACACCCAATTTATATTTATATATTTAAGAAAAGCAAGTTTATTGATGAAATGGAAGCAAAAAAGATTACACAAGAGGAGGACCAAACTTGCTTTTTTGCTTCCTTTTAAGTTCCTTTTCCTCTTGGATTCCGTAGCAGCATCAATTCAAACCACAAAAGAATCATTGCCTTTGATTCCAGTAACACTGCCCTATGAAACATCAATCCATTTGGAAATCTTAGCTCCTAAAAACTATTGCTATGAACAAATTACCAGTATCAGAATCAAGAAACTCTCTAAGCTAGTAACATGTACAAGTTGCCAAAATCAAAATCAAGAAACAATGACTAAATGTCAAAGCCAACCTCAATTGAGTCCTAAGTCCCATATCTCATAATAGCAACCAAAGCACCAATGTCAAACCTGAAATAGATTGCCATCTATTCAACACCAAAACAATTATTGGTGACAACTAAGCAAAGTCCAAAACTGAGTCTTAGTAGCCATAAGCATTAGCCTACAATCACTATACTCTACAAACACAATTCATGTGACTAAAAATAAAATATAGTCAATCGTTGATTTTCTTACAAATTTGAAAAAAATCTGTAACACCTCGACCCGAGTACTCGGATTAGCAAATCGGGTTGCTACTAAATTAGTATCCAAACACTACTCAACTTTTCAAAATATTTCAAACCATTTCAAAACATAGTTCAACATTCATCAGAGTAATATTCAAAACCATTGCGAAAGCTTGATTCATAATTCAAAAGTCAAAACACAACTTGGGGATCATGCCCGAAATAATAATACGTTGTTTAAGAAATAAATAGCAATTCGAAATCATCAAGAACCACCGCACACATCTCAGCCTCCTCATCGCCTTCCAAGATTAGCTCAAGTTCCTCATTCCCTAGATTACTTACGTGCAACAAAGGAACAAACGCTACACGTTCAACATTGAAGCTAAGTGAAAAATATCTAACATACAACTATACCTATAGACGATCCCACTAGCCCATATATCATACGATATCATGCAAGCAATATGCTTAACAACAAACACAGCAATATACAAGATATATCATGCATAATCAATATCATAACCATTCATGAGATACAAACAACAATGATATAATATCATGTTGTTTCCTCTTTAATTTAGTTCACCTTCTTTTTCGTACTTGGCTTTTGACCCATGCTAGGTTAAAGCGTAACTGAATTTGACTTGCCTATGAAAGTCATGACCATCCCATTCGGAACGAAGGTCAAGCTCAAACCAACTCAGGAGTTCTACGATGGGTGGGTAAGATTCCTGTCCCTTCGAAACAACAATTCTTAGATCCCTGTATGTACATTTTTATCCGAACAACCATTGGACCCAACAAGTACCACATGACTCTAACTTATTAACTTATGTCATACCTTGCCACTAATCCATTCAAGCCAGTATATAGAGTTTGTTCTAGGTGATTCACTCTTTATTTATTAACAATTCATTGATAAGTTACATTAGCACAAAATACTAATTCGATAAACAAATTGTACTCCATCCGTTTGGAAAAAGCCTTCCCACTTTGACTATAAGCCAAAATAAGGAAGTGTAAGATTATAGTTGACTTCCAATTTTGCCCTTGATGTGATAAATAAAAGTAAGATGTGATTGATTAGCACAAAATACTAATTCGATAAACAAATTGTACTCTATCCGTTTGGAAAAAGCATTCCCACTTTGACTATAAGCCAAAATAAGGAAGTGTAAAATTATAATTGACTTCCAATTTTGCCCTTGATGTGATGAGTAAAAGTAAAATGTGATGGATTTATTATTAGAAAAAAAATATGATGTTATATGTAGGGTATGAAAAAGTAAGGGTAAAAGTGATTTTTTATTAAAAAAGAGAAGTGTTTTGTTGAAAGTGAAAAAATAAAAGAAAAAGTATTTTGAGAACAGAGGAAATACTAAATTTTATATCTGTATGAATTATTACCTTAATATCACCCTAACACAAAATTAAAGTCTATAACTTATTTTTTGTCCTGGTTCAATATAAAACCTCATTACCGCGATCATGCCAATCTAGGGTTTCTGCTTCTATCCCGTTCTAGCAATCATGGCAGAAGAGGGACAGTGCGCATCGGAAGTGGGATCGAACAAGAGGAAGTACGACGAGTCGATCTCCCCTTCTCCGGTGTCTCGGAGGCCCACCGGATTCTCCGCACCCATATCTTCCGCGTCGCCGCCCGATTGTTCCGCTACCGGGGCCACTCCTCCTTCGACGTACAACAGTGTGCCTCCTCCTCTGGACGATTTTGAGCTGGCTAAGCAGAAGGCGCAGGAGATCGCTGCTAAATTGCTCATAAACTCAGATCCGAAGAAGCCCAGGGTTGACAATGGCGGCGGCGACGGTGCATATGAAACAAAAGAACGTAAGGGTTTATGACGTCGTTTACAGTTAGATTGCTTATAATTTCAGGTTTATTTGGTGTTTGGTCGAATTCGTATTGCCTTGATGTGCTTCCGATACCATAATTGATGACACTTTTTACATCCTTATTCTACTGTTCTCATTCAAATATTATGCATATCATACTATTTGACATATTCATGTTCGTTGCAGCCCAGAAGCAAATGGGGTCTACTTTTCTTCCTTCAGTAACTAGTTCATTTGGTCACCCTGGTCCAAGTAAAAAGATAGAGATTCCGAATGGCAGGGTGGGTGTGATCATAGGAAAGAGTGGTGAAACCATTAAGTATCTTCAACTCCAATCTGGAGCAAAGATACAGGTTACCAGAGACATGGATGCTGACCCTAATTCTCAAACTAGAGCTGTTGAACTAATGGGCACTCCAGAGCAGGTTGCTAAGGCTGAGCAGCTGATTCAAGATGTTCTTGTGGAGGTAAATTGTTTTATGCTTAAATACCCTATTTAAATTCTTATTGTGATTTCACGCATACTTGGAAACCACGAGTCATACCCCCAGCGACTAGGTCTTGGAATGCACCCATACTTTTGCAGTTAGGGGTTAGGCTGCTTATGTGATTTCTTACGGTGCTTGAGCGGGGGGTCACTTTGGAAACAGCCTCTCTACTCTCAAGTAGGGGTAAGGTCTGCTGCATACACACACTCTCCATAGACCCTACTTTTGTGGGATTCAACTAGGTTGTTGTTGTTGTGTATTGTGACTTATTGTTACTAATCTCTTCTGAACTTAATAGGCTGATTCAGGTGGGTCGGGCATAGTTTCAAGAAGGTTAACTGGCCATCAGGGCGGAGCTGAACAATTTGTGATGAAAGTCGCTAACAACAAGGTATATGCCATTATATTGGTTATCTGTTTGCTGAAACACATCTATTCCTGTTCTATTATCAACTAGCATACATATAGGTTGGTCTTGTAATTGGAAAAGGTGGAGAAACCATAAAGACCATGCAAGCAACAACAGGAGCCCGTATTCAGGTACATTTGTATCATTTATGGTTAATTATCATGTATTGTTTTAATTGCAGCTGTAAAATTTTGGTGTTTGAAATTCTGCAGGTGATCCCTTTGCACTTGCCACCTGGCGATACTTCAACAGAGAGGACAGTACAGATTGAAGGAACAAGTGATCAGATTGAGCATGCAAAACAGCTTGTCAATGAAGCTATTAGTGAGGTATATGGGCTGTATCTAATCATGTGAATTTATTAATTTCATTGGCTTGAAATGTGAATCACAAATGGTGTCTAGTCTGCTTGTTCAATTTTACTTTCTATCATCTGGTGCATATATGGTACTAATCGCATGCACAAGTATGCTCACTTCGTCTTAGACCTATTCCTGGAATCTAAGAAGCACTCCTTAAGTCACCAGAATGCTCTTATTTATTTGTGATTTCTGGACGCAAGAGTTGTGTTTGTAGTCTACTTTGTCATTCTTAACTTTTTACTACTATGTGTTATTATTATCACTCCTAGAGTTTAGCAGAACAGTGAGGTTCTTTAGTAAATTTCTGACATTTGGAAAGGACATGAATTTTTTAACTGCATAAGATTCTTAGTACAATAACTGCCTTAGAATGTTTATGTACATATATCCCTTACCTGCTTCCCATATTCTTATGCTATATCAAACCACTGTAACAATGCAAATTTTAGGGTGTATATGCATATGTTTCTCCATACCTCTTTGGATGTACAGCCAGGTTGATTGAGGTACTATAGTTCGTGTCAGATGACCCCGGACGGAGGTAATGTGCCTTAATTCAGTGCCCCTTAGTTGCAAACTAGGAGCTCGCTACTCAATAGAATTTAGTGTCGAGTTATTCCCAAGACATTTCCATTTTGTTATTAAGTATTGGCTGAGTTTGCTTTTACCTGAATTAAACTTCTTAAGGTTTGAATCTTACTCTTAAAGTACGTAATCTCTTTTGAGGTGTCTAAACATATCAATCATACTTTGAATTGTTGGATAATCTCGTAATGTATTGGAATTTGGATGTCTGATTTTGAATGAGGCAGATCCCACCAAGTCTATTTCTCTGAGGTACGAAATATGAAGGCATTTTATTAGTTTTGCAAATACTACATATATTATAAGTTTTGCAAATATAGTGGATATATTCTACTCAATTTCCGAAGTTTGTTAGGGTGGGCGCATAAGTTTCTGGTTAGCTTTATATATGATATTTTATATTCTCATTGTACCTGTACTAGAGTTTGTTATGGAAACTTGATGACACCAACTTGGAAGCATTTTTGTTGCTTCTCTCCGGATAATTTCTTCTGATATGTTACCAAAATGCAAATGTTACTTCCCTGTTTTGAAATCTTTTCATCCCAAAATGTTCATCTTTCAACAAAGAAAGTAGCCTTCTCACATTGAATTTTTGCACAGTAAAAATGAATGAGGGTTCTGATTAGTTGCTACAGTGAGTCTTGAATAAATTCAATCTACGAAACTTGATGTAAATATGTGAATTCACCTTTAACTGTTAATTTATTATGATGTTACGAAGTTGTGCCTTTCTGATAACCCCTTATGGGCGGAGGTAGTGCATTAGTTTCCTCACACTTTGGATTAAACAATGTCCGCTAAATATTTAAGTGTGGAGTTCTCCGTAGTTTTCTTCAATTTAGATTCAAAGTGATAGAACATATTGCATTAGTTGCAAGATGTGAAGATGTTAAATTCATTGTATGCAGAGGTGAAGACTTTGCATCTCTTGAATTTTATTTGTGATTTATGTGAAATTGAAATCCTTCAATGAATGCTAACCCCTTCTGTGATAACAGTTCAGTTATCATCTTGTTATATTCTTCAGTGTAATTGGTGTGAACTCTCCTGTTCTGAGCGTAAAAGTGATGTTATTGGCATTGAATAAGCTCTTCTATTTTGTGCTTTTAAAGTATTTTTTGTATGGAATTTTTTTTTGTTTTTGTTTTTATGTGTTTCATGAAAAGTTTGCACTTGTAAATATTTTTTAAAGGATGTAGATAATTAGGCATCTAGGGTCCTTTTTAACTGTTCTACTAATAACTTGGCTTAAGATAATGCATTTGTATTGAATGCAATGATGGATATCTGCGAATACAGTTTTCCAATATAGAAATATATGCCAATATTTTGGAACTTGTTTAGTTTTTTTTGCTTTCTGCTGTTGCACTCATCGCTTCAATTAGGGTGAGGTGAGGATGGGTCTCCGCACGAGTTTTTGTCCCAAACAAACAGTACGGTATGTTGGTGTCTAATCTCCCCTTTATGAAACTATATGCTATCTGTATATCATGAATAGTTGTGGTATACATTTGATTTAATTGTACTGACTGATTGTTGCATTTATATGTTGATGGTTTCTTATTTTATACTATGCATTATAATCGTAATCTTCTATGTTTTGTATTGACAATGAGTTATGGATTAGATTTTTTGGTTCATTTTTTACAACTTGCAGAATCGTGTTAGAAACCCAGCAATGGGAGGGACATATCCTTCTCAACAAGGGTATCAAGCACGACCTCCATCAGTCTGGGGCCCACCCAGTGCTCAAGTGCAACATCAAGGTTATGGGTACATGCAGCCAGGAACATACCCCGGCCAAGCACCCCAATATAACATGCACCACACTCCGTACCCTGGGTACCCCCCTCAACCATCACCCACAGGATATGGCCCTACCTGGAATCAATCAAATCCAAATCAGCAGACAGGTGGTTATGATTACTACAACCAGGTGCCACCTCAACACCAGCAAAATCCGGTAGGCTCTAGTGGACCTACAGATAACAGTGCATACGGATATAATCAACAAACATCTGGCTATAATAATAACAATCAAGGACAGACTTATTCTCAAGATGGGTATAATGGGTATCCCGCACCTGCACCTCAATCCGGTAGTTATGCCGGTCAGACAAACACTGTTCCTGGATATGACCAGCAACACGGGTATTATGGTAATTCCTCCAATCCTGCACCAGATTCTCAAACCCCTTCTTATGGGTCCCAGGGTGATGCAAACCAAGCAGCTCCACCCGCAAATCCTTCACCGGCAGTGAGCCAACAAGGTTACCAAACTAATAACCTGAACCCCACTCCTAATGCCAATTACCAACTGCCAGGGTATGGACCCCCACCAGCATCTCAAGGTGGTTATGGAACACAGCTGCCATCTCCTTATGGGCCAAATTATGGTCAGCCCCCAACTCAAAAGGCCCCAACTACTCAACCAGGTTATGGGCAGCCACAACAGACGCCTCAGGTATATTCTCATCCTCAGTCTGCTTTACCTGGCTATGGTCCCCCGCCAACTCAACCCGGTTATGGTCCACCACCAACACAAACTGGTTATGGTCCGCCACCAACACAAACCGGTTATGGTCCACCCCCAACTCAAACCGGTTATGGCCCGCCACCAACTCAAACCGGATATGGTCCGCCACCAACTCAAACCGGATATGGTCCACCGCCAGCTCAAACAGGTTATGGTCCACCACCAACTCAAACAGGCTATGGCCCACCGTCCTATGGGGTGGCACCACCCATGAATCAATCCGGTGTGCCCTACAATAGCGGGTATGGTGGTGGTTATTCACAGCCGCCTTCAGCAGCATACCAATCTGATGGAATTGCTGCGGTAAACGCACCATCCCAACCCACGGGGTCAGCTAAAACGTCTCCCCAGAGTTAATGTATTTAGGCTATCGTTGTTTTGATCGTGTAACTTTGATTTCAGCTTCACGTAGTATTTGCTCTTTCCTTTGTCGAGGATTAGTGTCTATTGTTTGTGGCCTTGTGGGAATCTTTTGTATGCATTGTTTCGAATGCTTGTTTTTCGAAAACTGATTTGCTTTTCTCTGTTTTGTTATTTGCATTGCTGTGACATAAAACTCATTTCTTGACGATTTCATTAAAAAAAGATTTCATTATTTCAATTTTAGAAGTGTGTAAAACTGGAATATGGAATCGCCATATATTAGAGCGTGTGTTGATCTCTGTGTTGATCTCTGCTAAGATAGTATGTTGTAAAATAAATGAAAGGTGTATATGGCTTATATGAAGCATGTCACATGTCAAGCTTCAATTAAATCAATTTCACTTTATATAATTATTTTCTCATTTGAGAAAATAATAGTATTTTACTCCGTAAAATAATTAGATAAAAATGTGGGATATTGAATCGAGTTAAGTGGACTAAATAAAATTTTAATCAATATTGAACTAAATTAAATCTTTCTTGGTTCTCATGACATTGGGGATCAATTGGGCGTGTTCCGGTACTCAATTCGTAAAACTGACGGTTGCTACCTTTCTAACTCTTACGTAAATCCCCCCACCCCGGCCCGACGCGAACACGCCCCCACCCCCAATGTGATTTTGACTTTGGAGTCAAAATTAATGGAAAAGCTCATCCAGAATTGATTTTCAAATAAAACGAAGATGTTGATTCACTCTATGTCATTAGATTAAGAAATTGCGTACATATTCTACATTATAATAGAGTCAGTAGTACTAAAAAATAATCTTTTCATCTGAAAAACAAGTTATTATATGGAGTGTTGAAAAACTGTCTGTATACAAAAAAATATATGAAACAAAAGATGACATTACTATATTATTTTATTAAATGAGTAAAAAAATAGATAAAAGATGAATAAAAAGTAATCTTATAAATAGTACGGAGTATATGAGAATTTATTTTTCGAAAGTGAATAACGTATGAGAATTTATTTCCCGGGTAACTAACTTACTCAATCTGTTTCAAAATGTTTACCACATTATGTAAAACGAAGTGAAATCTTAATTTTTTCAATTAAATTTATTTAAAGATTGATATACAAATAAAATAAAATTTACATATTCAAAAATTACTTGAGAGTTTTTTAAAATAAGTGATGAAAAAATACGTTACTTTATCAAATTGTCAATGAAATCATACAAATAATTATTTTTTTTTATAATTTTTACTCACTCTGTCCCATTTTAAATTGCTTGTTTGCTTTTTTTCTCCGTGCCAAAATAAGTTGCATGTTTCTTGTTATCGTAAACTTTTAAAAGCAAAATACCTAAACTATCCCTAAAATTAGTCACTGTTCTCCACCTTATCCTCTCATTCATCGTCACCCTTCTAAAAAGTAATGATAATTTTAGAAAATCAATTCTATTTTTTCTTTTCCTTAAATACGGAGTATGTTCCAAAATCGTAATTTAAAACCTTACAAAGAATTTTTTTTTCTTGTATTAATATTCTCTCCTAAATCCTAATTTCTAAATTAATGCTGAGTACTTGTGTTTATTTACGGATAGGTCGCCCCCGTCTGCGTCTCTCTGAATCTCACACTCTCTGCTAGGGTTTCTACGCCCTTCTCCCTCGCACCAAAAAACCAGGATATGGCGGAAGAGGCGCAGTACTACTCATCGGAACCAGGCTCGAACAAGAGGAAGTATGAAGATCCAAGCTCGCCCTCACTGTCGTCACGCCGGCGCACCGGGTTCTCTGCTCCGGTTCCGTCGTCAAATCCAGCCGACGGCTCCGCAGGCACTCCTCCTCCTGCTCCCTACAGCAACGTTCCGCCTCCGTTGGACGACTTCGAGCTCGCGAAGCAGAAGGCTAGGGAGATCGCTTCTCGGCTGTTCATCAACGCCGACCCAACGAAGGCAAGGGTTAACAATAATAGTGGCTCTGCTGCATTTGATGCTCGAGAACGTAAGGATTTTTTAGATCCTGGAGATATGTCATCTTGTTTTCTCTATAAGTTGTTTTTTTGCCATGGAGTTCATCGGTTGTTGGCTCAAGTCTTTATCCTTCATATGTATATATTCTCACCTTTGACCCTTGACGCATCTGTAAGTAGAATATCCATTCTCCCCATGTTCTGGTGCCATATAATTTAAGAGAGGAAGAGCGTAACTTGCTATAGGACTTGTGATAGTTTGTCTTACAATGCTCTGATTCCTTTCCGTCTTCTCTTTGAGGGATTGTGGCATTTTTTCATGTGTACCACTCTTGTTACCTATCAGTCTTATCTTATGTCATTAGTCTCACCTCAAGTTTTTTTTCGTTCTCTTTGTGCGTATCTGTGTTTAAGATCTGGATTTTTATACACTGCAGCTCAGAAGCCAATGGGGTCTACATTTATGCCGTCAGGTGGTAATTCCTATGGATACCCTGGTCCATCCAGGAAGATAGAGATTCCAAATGGAAAGGTTGGTGTAATCATAGGAAGGTCAGGGGAAACTATCAGGAATCTTCAACTCCAATCAGGAGCTAAGATACAAGTTACCAGAGACATGGATGCTGACCCTACATCCCAAACTAGAGAGGTTGAACTGATGGGCACTCCAGAGCAGATATCCAGGGCTGAACAGCTTATTCAAGATGTTCTTGCTGAGGTCAACATGCCGTTTTTATTTTTATTTGCCTTAAGCTTGTTTGCCCGTTACTAAAACACTGTCACTGATGCAGGCTGACGCAGGTGGTTCTGGCATGGCTTCCCGTAGGCCTGGACAGCAGATAGGAGCTGAACAATTTGTAATGAAAGTTCCTAACAACAAGGTATTCATTTGTCGTATGCATATTTGGCAAATTACTTTTCTTTCTCTTCCATAATAAAGTGTTGTCATTGTTTTGTATAGGTTGGCCTTGTTATTGGAAAAGGAGGGGAGACCATAAAAAACATGCAAGCAAGTTCAGGTGCACGCATTCAGGTATGTAGTTTTTGAGCTTGACCTTTTGTTGTTAAGAATTTACATTTTATTTTAATGCTTACACTTTTTGCAGGTGATACCTCTACACTTGCCACCTGGCGACACTTCCTCTGAGAGGACTGTACAGATTGATGGAACGAGTGATCAGATTGAAATCGCAAAACAGCTTGTCAATGAAGCTATTAGTGAGGTATATTGGCTGTGCGTAATGGTGTTGATTTATTGTCACATTCGTTTATTTTAAATGCAATCAGTATTGTGTTTATTTGCATGTTTGCTCTTATTTAATCTTTTTTTATAATGTGGGAATCTGGCATAAATAGGCATAAGAGTTCAATTACCTTTGCTAGAATTCAAGAAGTATTCCTTCTTGAGAGACTAGACAGTTATTATTTGAAGTGTATTCTTTGAGTATGTATGCAGTATTTTGATTGCAGATCATGGTAGAGAAGGGCTCTTAGCTTGCATTCGTATTATCCATGACTAAGTTCTCAATATAATGTCTCGTTTAATCTTGTGCTCCGAAGAGTATCTTTACAAGAATCCCTCCAACTTATGATCCTAGCCTAAATTCGATTTAACTAGACTAACTGCCATAGGTTTGCTTATTTCCTTTTTTTGAGGCTCGTATTGATGCAAAATACTATTTCCATCATCTCTGATGGAGCCAAAATTTCACCATTTTTTGGCTTTGGGGTGTGATGGAATAAATCAAAATGGATCTCTAAACTGTCTGCGCTTCTTTAATTAATGAAGTAGCAGTTAGTCAAGCAATGCAACTTTCGACGTTGAGCCGGGGGTCTCTTTGGAAACAGCCTCTCTACATTCGAGTAGGGGCAAGGTCTGCGTACACACACCCTCCCCAGACCCTACTCTTGTGGGATTTAACTGGGTTGTTGTTGTTGTTTTGTATTGATGCAAAATACTCCCTTACATCGAAGTTATATTCACATGCAAATTTATGATGTGTGCATATCTATTTTGCCATTCCTCTTTGTTGGTACAGACTGGTTGATTGAGATTGAATGCCCGTGGAATAAGGTAATGTGTCCTTATGCAGAGCCTTTAGTGGAAAATTAGAACCTACTTAGCAAAGCTTATTCTAGTTGCCTTTAGTATTCCACGATCCATAACTTTCCATCTATACTTGGCAAGGGTGGATTATAATCAAACTGCTAGTGAAATGTTATTCGTGCAAACATTTCTCCTATTGGGTCTCTTAGGTATTGGTGATATTTTATAAAATATTTTGAGGTGCCAGTCCAAGTTAGTTAATATGCTTAATTTTGAAATTTTATTGGTCTTTCTATATCTGATTTCCTGTGAAGCAGGCTCAACCACACCCATTTCACTAGGTATGGATGTAATTTTTCTGTTTCTTAATGCGGTAGATCCTTCATCCTTGGTTGTATTTTAACTCAACTTTTCAACAAGCTTATGTGATTTTTATGCATTTAGTGTTTGGTCTGGCACATCAATTTTTCTCTTTTTGTTGTCATCTAAGTTTCAAAACAAAGATTGCGATGCCAAAACATGAACCATTCAGAATTGCTCTGCTATGTTCACAATCAAAGTTGTGGATAATGACCCTCACATTATGGAGAAATGAGTGTCCTCCCTAAAACAACTCCATGAAATATTTTATGATATTAATATTTTAGTTGGTTGGTCTAGTTGAAAGTAACTACTATTTACTTAGAATCATCATGTTTCATTTTTTTAATTTATGCTGTGCTGATGAAATTCCTTTATGACATTAAAATATTTATGTTCCATTGGTTGTAAAACTTTTGTGCTTTTAGAATAACTTCATCCACCCCAAACTATGAGATCGGTTCGATAATAGTAAAGCTTTAATTTTTAATAAGTTAATCAAGGTGTACACCTTTACAAGTTTTGAGCAGGCACATATACCACAATTGATTTCAAATAATGGCTGGAGTAATTGGCTAAACTTGTTTGCAATCTTTGCAGCAATTTTTTTAAAGATAAAAAGTTACTATAAAAACCACTATTTTTTTGGGACAAGCTCTCTTTTGGGACCACAGGGTTCTTAAGACAACACTCAGGTCAGGAAGTATATGTTAATGAATAGTCACGATTCTCATGAAAGTTTAAATAGTAGTGAATACTTGATTGATCAATGGAAATTTGAAATATAGTGCTTCCATATTGTTTGTTGAATGGTTTTACAACAGTTATCTCTTTGAAGTTAAGGCCCATAATTTCACCTTAGCACTACGTTTGGTTCAAGGAATCGGGAAGGAAAGAAAAAATAGAAGGTTTTCTCTCCTTTTCCTCACCAAAATGGAAGGAATTTGTTTTCCCTGCTCTTAGTTCATTTTGCTTTCTCATTTTCTTTTCCTTCCACTTTTCATTTCTTTTCCTTTTGAACCGAACAAGAAAAATAGTTTTCCATATCATTTTCTTTTCTTTTCCCTTACAAATTCCTTGACCCAAACATTTTGTAAATCTGGTGTGAGAACATATTATGTTATTTAAATCTTTCAAATATTTTCTTTTTTGATACAACACTGTTTTTCTGTTTGATACACACTCATTTATGTGTGCGCGTGTGAGATAGAAGTCCGATTCCTCTTTTTCAATTTAATTCTATACACGGGTATTGTTTTGTAAGAGAGCAATCGTTCTTTGCTTGAAATGGTGGGATTTGTTGAATTATATGATAGGGAATAGCATATGGGGACAACATTTATTCCATCCAAATAAGTCAATGCTATATATTCTACTTTCAAGCAGAACTAGCCAGGTGAATCTCCCAAGACGGCCATAATCTTGCTAACCACATACGATATAAAAAGAATGTAATCACTTCAATATTGTCAATATTATGGAACTTGTGTAGTTTCTTTGCCATATGCTATTGTTGTGTTCATCACTTCAATTAGGGTGAAGATGGGCCTCTCTGCAGGAGTATTGTCCTAATCAAACTGTACGGTATGTTACTATGTCGGTGTCAAATCTACTAGTCTAGATTTTAATGTGACTATAATTCCATATAGCACAGAATATGAATGGTATATGATTGATTGTTGCCTTTATATACTTCTCTACTGATTTTTCTTTTGATTATGATATGTTGTCTTGTTGGTTTGAAAAAATTCATTTTGGATTATTAACTTCGTGCAGAGTCGGCTCAGAAATTCATCTATGACTGGAACATATCATCAGCAAGGATACCAAGCACGACCACCGACTAACTGGGCCCCACATGTCGGACAAACACCGCAACCCGGTTATGGATACATGCAGCAGCCTGGAACGTACCCGGGTCAATCACCACAATACAGCATGCCTCAACAATCACCATACCCTGGTTACCCTCCCCAACCAGCACCCGGTGGATACGGCCCTGGGTGGGACCAATCAAATCAAAACCAACAAACAGCACCCGCTGGCGGTGGTTATGATTATTACGGTCAGGCCCCACCACAGCAACAACAGACTCATGGAGGTTCCGGTGGTGCCCCACCACCTGCAGATAATACTGGTGGCTATGGCTATAATAGTAACAACAATCAAGGACAGACTTACTCCCAAGATGGGTACACTGGGTATGCTACTGCACCTCCCCCCGCACCGGCACCCCAATCTGGCGGTTACGTGGGTCAGGCAAATGCAGTTCCCAGTTATGATCAGCAGCAACATGGGTATTATAGTAATTCATCTGCTCCACCACAAGACAGCCAAACATCTTCCTATGGAACTCAAGGTGATGGGAATCAAGCACCTCCCTCAAATCAGCCAGCGGCCTTGGCACCACATGGTGGCGGTTATGATACATCTCAGAACCCGAGTTCTAATGCCAGTTACCCCCCATCCGTACATCAAGGAACAAATCAGACTCAAGGTGCCAGCGGCGGGTATGGGGTTCAGCCGCCTGCCGTTGCTTATGGGTCCCCCAACTACGGGCAACAACAAGGACAAAAGCCTCCGCCAACCACTCAACCCCCAGTTTATGGGCAGCCGCCTCAGGCATACCCTCCTCCCCCTGCTGGGTATGGTGCCATGGGGTATGGAGCACCACCACCGTACGGAGCACCACCGCCACCACCACCACACATGACTCAACCTGGAGTGCCGCCATACAACAGTGGGCCCACTGGCGGTAGTTATCCTCAGGCTTCCGCGTACCCTCCCCCAGATGGAAGTGCGGGTGCTGGGCCAGCAGCGACGACACCCCACTCAACTGGGTCAGCGAAAACCTCTCCGCAGAACTGATTCGTGTGTACTCTATATTTATTCTGCAGTTTTGTTTCTGGTAAGTATGTTCAGTGTTTTTTCTTGGGGGGATTTTTTGAATGTTGAATTAATTTTGTTCTTTCTGGTTTGAAATTGGTCTATATATGCTTGCAGACATCAACCATAGCCTCGTCTTTCTTTAACTATGTTTTTTAAATCTATTTTAGATACTCCCGTTCTTGAATTTTTGTCTATTTTTGACTTTTTTTAGTCACAATTGGTAAATTTTGACTTTAAATTAAATAAAAATGATATTAGATATTCATATAAAATAGTTTTGTTGGATTTATTATATGAAATATTTTTAAAATTTATTTTATCTAATTAATGTACAATAAACGGAGTATATTTTATTTAATTACAGGTCAAATTGTTTTTCAAAATATTTTGTTTTAAATTTAAGATGGGATTGTATGAAATGCTCAAATTGTTTTTCAAAATATTTTGAGGAATACTTTATCGTTTCCAATTTAAGAGTATGTCTATTATTTACTCCGTACATGGTTAAATGTTAACCTTTTTTCCACTTTTTGTTACTTTAATATAATACTCCCTCCGTCCCAATTTAAATTGTTTGTTTTGACTTTTGGGCATATTTAAGTAAAATAAAAAATAGAGTTGATTTTTCGAAATTGTCATTACTTTTTAAGAGGAGTAACACGGTCGTACCATTTTTGTTTTATATAGATATTTTAATGTAGTTTTAAATATTTTTTATTTTTTAATTATATACTCCCTCTGTCCCGTGAAACATGGGACATTTGCTTTTTAGGAGGGATTTAAGGGAGTGTATTTTGGTATTGAATTTCCAAAAATGTCCTTTGATGTGATGGGTAAAAGTATGATTTGATGGATAGATTATTAGTAAAAAAGTATGATGTGATAGTTAGGGTATGAAAAAGTAAGGGGTAAAAGTGACTTTTTAATAGAAATGAGAAGTGTTTTGTGGGACGGATAAAAAAAGAAAGGGGAAATGTTTCACGGGACGGAGGTAGTACATATTTTTAATAAGTTGAATTAAAAATATTTTGATCAAGATATAACTTAAGTTGAAAAGGAAGAAATAAATATAGTATAATTTGATTATGAGAATAGATGAATAGTACGTAGTACTCTGTAACATTTTTTGATTTTTTACTCCGTAAGTATTTGCATTATTTAACTCATTTGATAAAATTATTAAAATACTCACTAATACAATTTACAATAATTTCTTCTCATTTTTTCTACGGCGTAGAAGTTTTGATAGATAAGTTTTTTAATTTACATTTTACATCATATTTTTAATTTTATATCAATATAAAGAGAAATTAAATTAAAAATAATTTCAACCGAAGATTATACAGAGTATAACGCAATGTCAAGCCAGGTTCTTTTTCGGATGAAAGAGAGCTCCCTCCATCCCATAAAAAGTTTTACATTTCTTTTTTGTTTGTCCAAAAAAAGATTAGACATGGTTGATCCTTTTGAAAAGAATTTTGTGGCGCTTATAACTTTTCTCTTATTTGTTTTACTTTCAACCACATTTCTCTTTTATCTATGTGTCATGTCAAAAGTAAAAAATTTTCATGAGACAGAGAGAATATTTGTAGGTTTCATGCTTCTTTTTTTAATATTAATATCCAACTCACAACTTTACCTTTCTTCGTGTAACAAAGGGGTATTATCTTTGTTTTTTACTCCGTAAGGGTAATATCTTGTTAATTACGGAGTACTTTAATTATTTAAAATTCTAAAACTTATTTAGAAGCGCGGAGTTGAAATTTGTATGTAAAGACAAAAGCTAAAGCTTGAACAAGTGTAATCTAAATTCTATTTTTTTAGTGAAGTCTAATTTAAATTCTTAATCCTCCGTAAATTACATTATTGTTTGTGGAAATAAATATTGGGCTTTTTGAGTCTGTTTAGAAGAGTGCATAGAAGAAATTCTTTTGTGAGAGCATTTTGGTGTGGTAAAAAAGTCACTCCAACCTTCTCTACATTCAGTATTCGAGTCTCATCCGCATGTTTAAAAAGTTGAGATGATAAGACTAAACAAATACTAAACTGCACACGCATACAGAAAAAATAGAAGATTGATTTTGTGTACAGAGTACCTAAAAGTTTATACAACAAGTTTTTTTACATTGGTCACTGGTGTCATATTATGGCATTGAGCTTATTTAACACCTCTATGATACTCCGTTTGACCTCGAAATGGTTCAACATTCTCTCTTATAAACCCCCACCCCTAATAGTTTGGTAAACATTTATATGACAGTGATGCGTAGCTCAGCCGTTGGTATAAGAGTGCTACAAGAGAGAGATCTCGAGTTTGAAGCCTGGTGGCCGCGTTGAGAGGCAACCATGCAAAGCATAAGACTTTTATAAGTACCATACTCGGAACCGTACTCTTATGCTAAGTACCATACTCGAAACCGTACTCTTATGCTAAGTGACTAAGATTATAACTCAATTTATCTCTTTCAGCTAATTGTCTAGCTGGTGATGAGGGGCTGTCGGGGAGGTGGTGTCATCCTTTTTTAATAAACAAATATATAATTTATTCTTTATTGTTTTGCTTATGTGAGAGAGAGTCCATGCATTATCATATGGGCCTCAAATCAGGATAGAAGAAGTACTCTATCAGTGCAATCCAAATGAGGAAGCAATAAGAAAAATAGTCTCTCATCTCATGTATTTGAGTCACCAACTTTGATTAGAAACCCAAATGACAACTAACAAGAAGAAAAATTGTTTTGCATAAAAATCTTCTAAAAACTTGTTGAAAACGTAAAGTTCAAATAAAAACATTAAGAGCACTGGAAATATCCGCGATCCTCACCAGCATTATGATGCGTTTAACGCCATGGGGACGTTAAGCAACATCCTCTTCCACCATTCTTAGGCGTTAATGTAGTTGCATTTTAATATAACCGTTAATGCAATGCGTACGTTGCCCCCCTCCCGCCCCCCCTCAATGATCCAAATTATGGCCGCAGGCCAATTTTAATTTTTTAACTATAAAACCCCCCTATTTTAAAAAAATGCATACACACAAGAAAAAGTCATTTTCTATATAATTCATCCAAAAAATATTTTATTTCTTTTAATTCTTTCCACAAAAGCACTCAAAAATGGGATAATCTTCAATGAAAGAACAGCTTTCATTTTTCATTGTTTCATGATGGGTTGTTACCAATGATAGCGTTTAAGCTATGATCGGGCGGCTGCTCACGAAGTCCTACTCAATGACTACTTCAATACTCCGTGAGTTTACACACCGAAATATTTTAGTAATCGGTTTCGGATGAGCTGTTCCTGTTCTTACGCATACTCGCCAATATTGAACGCGAGGTGTCTTGGTTCACCGAACGCAATGTCGGCTCGGATCATTAGGTCATGTGTTTCTAAATTTTCTAAAGGTATTATTCGACTTTATAATAAAATGTAATTAGGTAAGGCGACAACGAGCAACATTGAACAGTCACAGGCAAGACATGTCGCTAAACACGGCTTTGTTGGCATGTTTGGGAGCATCGATTGCACGCGTTGGGAATGAAAAAATGGTCCCACTGCCTGATCTGGTTATGCTCGAAGCTATGACTTCAAATGAGTTGTGGTTTTAGCATTTTTTTTGGTGATGCGGGCTCGAACAACGACATCAATGTCCTTGATCAATCACTCGTTTTTTACTATTGGATTAATGAAATTGCACCCGACTCACCTCTTGAGTATAGAGGAACAATTTACAAGCGTGGACATTATCTTGCCGATGGAATATATCCAAATTATATTCAAATTATTAACGTGCTCTAAGAATCTACCACGTTAACAACACATTAATTGCATAAAATAACTAGTGAAATGGGTGTTGTGGTTTAAGAGAAATTCAGATAACACAAAGACCAACAAGACATCATCAAATAAGGCCATATGAACAAACTTGGACTGGTAGTACCTCAAAGTCTACATAAATAACATTAACAAAACAACCTGCAACAAAGTAGTTTGACAATACAACTTAAAACCAACAAAGAAACCAAATACATAATCTTACCATTTTTGTTTATTGAATTAACTAACACGTAGTACAGATCTTCCCAAGCTTATAGCAAATATCATCAATATGAGCGTCTCCCATCCCCATCTGTGATAACATCCTTGAAGGCGCCACCACTGGGAATCATGGGCAACACATGTTCCTGGTGCGGGACCACCACGTCCAACAAGTAGGGCCCGGGAGTTTCGAGCATCTTCCGAATCGCTGCACGGACCTCGTCCTTCTTCGTCACCCGGGCAGCGGGCACGTCGCAGGCCTCGGCGAACTTCAGCATGTCGGGGAAGATCTGGTCCTCCTTAGCCGGGTTCCCGAGGAACGTGTGTGCCCGGTTCGCCTTGTAGAACCGGTCCTCCCATTGGACCACCATGCCCAAGTGCTGGTTGTTCAGCACCATGATCTTGACCGGGATGTTGTCCGCGCGGATCGTGGCCAGCTCTTGCACGTTCATCAAGAAACTCCCGTCCCCGTCGATGTCCACGACCACCGCCTCCGGCCTCCCGACCGCCGCCCCGATCGCTGCCGGCAAACCGAACCCCATCGCGCCTAGCCCGCCCGAGGTCAGCCATTGGCGGGGCCTTCTGTACTTGTAGAACTGGGCAGCCCACATTTGGTGCTGCCCGACGCCCGTGCTTATTATCGCATTCCCGCCTGTCAACTCATCTAGAACCTGAATGGCGTATTGCGGGGGAATGGCGTCCCCGAACGTCTTATAGTTCAAGGGAAACCTGCCCTTCTGCTCCGACAACTCGCGCCTCCAAGCCGAGAAATCGAGATTCATCTTCCTCCCCATTTTGCCCTCCAGTATCTCATTCAACGCCCCGAGGGCCAACTTTATATCCGCGCAAACCGACACGTGTGGTTGCTTGTTCTTCCCAATCTCCGCGGAGTCAATGTCGATGTGCACGATCTTCGCCCGGCTCGCAAACGCCTCCAACTTGCCCGTTACCCGATCGTCGAACCGCACGCCAAACGCGAGCAAGAGATCGCTCTTGTCGACCGCGTAGTTCGCGTAAACGGTTCCGTGCATTCCCAGCATGGAGAGCGAGAGCTCATCCGAGAGAGGGTACGATCCGAGCCCCATCAATGTACTTGCCACGGGAATCCCGGTGAGGGACACGAATTGATTCAGCTCTTCGGCCGAGTCCAAACAGCCTCCCCCGACGTAGAGGACGGGCTTTTTGGACTCGGAAATGAGCCTCACGATTTGCTCCAAGAGCGAATGGTGGGGCGGTTTGGGCAACCGAGACAGGTATCCGGGTAATCTCATGGGTTGATCCCAATTGGGGATCACAAGCTGTTGCTGTATGTCTTTTGGGAGGTCAATCAGAACTGGGCCGGGTCGACCCGATTTGGCCAGGAAAAAGGCCTCACGGACGATTCTAGGGATATCTTCAACATCTAGAACCAGATAATTGTGCTTTGTAATGGATCGGGTTACCTCCACGATTGGGGTTTCCTGGAAGGCGTCGGTTCCGATCATCCTCCGAGGAACCTGGCCGGTAATGGCGACGATCGGACAGCTGTCGAGGAGAGCATCCGCGAGTCCGCTGACCAGATTGGTGGCCCCGGGGCCAGAGGTTGCGATGCAGACGCCGGGAAATCCGGTGGCGCGTGCGTAGCCCTCGGCGGCGAAGACGCCGCCCTGCTCGTGACGGGGGAGGACATTCCGGATGATGTTGGATCGAGTGAGCGCCTGGTGGATCTCCAGCGACGCGCCGCCGGGGTAAGCGAAGACGCGAGTCACGCCCTCCCGCTCCAGGGCCTCCACGAGGACATCGCATCCCTTCCGCGGCTCGTCAGGCGCGAATCTGGAGACGAAGGCCTGCTCCGGAAGGACCTCGGGAGCGGCAGCGGCGGCGGGGGGCGACGAAGACGACAAAACACTAGAGATTAGAGAGCTGCGGCGGCGGGGCCCGGAAATGAGAGCTTCTCTGCTCGTTTTTCGAAGGAAACCGCTAGAGAACACAGGAAGGACCTTCGGAGATTTGGATATAGAGATAACAGGGCGGTCGGAGACGGCGGCGGAGAAGGAAGCAGCGGCAGCCGCCATTGTATTGAAGGCTAAATGAGAGCGATGCAGTTCGCCGCAAAATCCCCTCCGTAAAAAAGGACTATATATACTCTAGCGGGGACAAGAAATTTACCGAACAAAATAAAAAGACCAAACAGAGTTTTTAAAAAAACCTAATTTGCACGGAAAAAGAAAAACAATAAAGGTGTTTGGGTGTTTAAAAAAAGAATAAACCGAACCCTAAAATTGCTTATTCCATTTATACACCCGTCAAATACATACATTAATAAAGTGTCTGTGTTTAACTGGTGTACAAATGAGATATTCTATTTTGGCGTAACCATTTATACACCAAGCAAATACATACATTAATTAAGTGTACGTGTTTGACTGGTATACAAATGAGATACCCTATTTTGTTGTAATTCTAGCATGACTCTTAAAAAAACCGTGTGTGTCTAGGGGTGGACACGGTACCGGTACGGTACCGTCACCGGCAACGGTACCGCCGGTACCCGCCACCGTCACCGGCAAGGTCGCCGTGTTACCGGTTCCGGGAACCGGTACCGCCACTTTCGGTACCGGTATAATTTTTTTTTTTTTTTTGATTTGAAATGCAAAAAAGTTAAAAAAAAGGTGGGGGGCGAAACAATTGCATTCTTTCCTTAAACAATTACAATTTTTAAACAATTGCAATTTTTTATAATTTAAAAATTAAAAAAAAATAGGGGGGGGCGAAACCGGCCGGTCCGGGAACCGGAACCGGTACCGGCCGGCACGGTATACTATCCGGTTACTCGGGGTGGCGGTACCGGAACCGCCGGTTCCGGAACCGGAACCGTCCCGGAACCGTACCGTGTCCACCCCTATGTGTGTCACTTTGAACCAATCGTACCAATCTACCACCTAATTTTGATAATTGTGATTATTATATTTTCGAATATTTATATTTGCTCAAACAAGTATTTCAAAGTCTAACAAACTAATCTAATATTGGTGTCATATTCTTTTCTATTTATCTTTTTATTTATTATTTATTCCTATTAAAATTAGATCAGATCAAATTAAATTAAAAATAACTTTAAATATAATTACATTCAAATGAGAGCTTATTCCAACAAATTAGAACCAATCAGATCAGGCAAGAAGAAAACGACATAGTACTCATCGAGTATTCAGGAGCTTGCAAGTGGTGAGATAAGTATTTTAACTCTACTCTATTCGCTTGATTCTAATTTGAAATTTTATAACAATGCTACATTCACAAACAGGTTTACAAACTCCATAATTTTACTATTTATGGTTTAAATTCTAATTTTAAAATTATTTTAGATTATTTAATTTTTTATAGAAGTTTACAAATACGGAGTAGTAAGTTTGAGAAGTTTGTGATGATTGTATTTGTGAACCAAACATTTCCCTATTATTCATACATTGATATTAATGTAAATATTATCTAATATATTATAAATAAATATAAAGCTATTAAATGGGACTATGCATTGGACATGAGTCCCAATTTTTTCGAAATCCCATTTTGTATCAATGTCTCATTTTAATCCGGCTCAAAATAGGACTTACTCTAGCAGTAGACATGCTCTAATATTCTTCCACTTTGTTACATCTGTTTCTAGGGCTGTCAACGGATAACCGAAAATTCGATTACCGTCAGCATCTGAATTCGTTTAAAGAAGAAATATCTGCATCCGTTTTAAACGGATATTATCCGTATCCGATTAAGGATATTCGACTACTAAATGGATACGGATTTGGTAATTGTATATCCGATCCGTTTAAAATCCGATCCGAATATGCATCCCTTTAAATAATCGTTTATCCAAATATCCGATCCGTTATATTTAGTTTTTCCTAATTTTTTATGTTTATATTTTGTTTCTTAATTGATATTTCAAAATATAAGAAATTTTTATTTACAAAATAAATGTGTAGACACATAAAAATATGTACAGACATATAAAAATATGTGTATATGTGTGTTGTGTATATATCTTTTTATCATATGAAGTTATCGTAGAATATCATAAATCATGAAAACTAAAAAAATAATTATCTCATACCAAATTATAGTTGATTTAATAATAGTTTGACTTTAATCTAATTTAAAATTAAAATATTGTTTAATTTGATTTTAAAAATTAGAAACGGATACGGATATATCCGATATTCGACCGATATCTGACGGATGCGGATACGATTTTGATTTTCAGTATCCATCAAGATCCATATCCGAATTCGATATCCGACAAAAATAAACGGATACGGATTTGGTAGTGGCACATCCGATCCGACTAATATCTGTTTACACCCCTAACTGTTTCTTAAAATACTCTCTTTTATTTTTTTGTTTTTCTTTAAAACACTTTTAATTTCTACGACCCCATAAAAAAACTATTTTTACCTATACTTTTTCTTATAATTTCTATCACATCATACTTTTTTATTAATAATATACCTATCACATCAACAGTAAAATTTAAAAAGCAACTACAACTATACAATCTTTATTTCTCTTAAGGGTCCGTTTGATAAAAGGAATTGATGAAATTGGAATCGAATTGAAATTAAAAATCCAAGGGATTCAATTCTATAGATTTAAATTCACCCATTTTAATTCATTTTTTACACTATCAATTCCAAATTCACATAATTTTTGTGTTACCAAATCCCAGAATTGAAATTGAAGTTCTCAATTCCAATTCCATAATTTGAATTCTGTGTACCAAACGGCTAAAAGTTAAAAATCGTTTTATGAAGGTACATTCTTGAAAACAGACTTTTTTCTTGATCTTAAATAAAAATGCAAAGTGAACACAAGAAAAAGCATAAAAAAAATGTGCGTAGTGACCTTACAACTGCCACATCGGAGCAGACTGAGCTCAATCAATTATTACAAAATTTATACTCATTACTCATCAGTTATGTCTTTATCTCACTGCTATGACAAGAACACACACACACACACATGATTACAAGAACCACAACGAAACTAAGATGGGATTGAACCCTCTTGACAACCCGGAAATGCTGCACTAACCGCACGAATGACACCAAAGTTGACACCGTCACAATTCCACGGGCAATGCAGGTGCGCGGTTGTACCTGATAGTGTAAACATTACTGTTATCCCTGGGGTTAGAGTACAGCACTTTCCTTAACACCCCCCNATGTGGTTCCTGAATGCCAAGAACATCTTTGGAGAAAGGAGCAAAACGAATGCCAAAACATATCCGAAGAGCAACCTGGTGATGTACCGCAGGGGATCCGTAGTGTCGGCTTCTTCGCCCGTGGGGTTGGGCAACGATGAGATTGCCGTGGCGGAGGGAAGAGCTTCGATCACTGCATCCGCGAGGTCGGTGATGAATGTGGCGGTGCAGTTGAGGGCGGGTACCCGGCCCCAATTCTCAATCCCGGACTCAAGTGCCAACTCCTTGTATTCCATGTCAATCTCTTCAAGTGTCTCTATGTGCTCACTCACAAAGCTGCAATCAGCTAAGAGACAACGTTCAGCCAATATCACTCCACGTTTGCAATGCATAGGCCATATAACGCATTTAACTAAGAGTTATTCTTAAGTGAAGATATATACTTTAAACTCAAAAAAGAAATTACTAAACAATCAGCTTCCAGTGGAATGTAAGAAAAAAGTACTCATATTAAGAAAAATCGACAGCGGAGTAGTATGGATGTATGATAAATCCGGCGTCAAGTCTAGATGAGGCATACTGCAAAGCATAGTTAGTAGATTCATACCTCACTGGAACAGCCAACAGAGATTTCACGCCTCTCTGGCCAAGTTCAACAAGCACTTCATCAGTGTATGGTTTCAACCATTGTACCGGTCCAACTCGGCTCTGACATGCAGAGTAGTAAAGAACCAAATTCAGTTCTAGTGATAATATAAATAGTTGAAATATACTGTCCAGGGCAGTAACAACAAACAGCAAGGACAGAAAGTAATTTCAATAAAGTTTTCTATAGTTTATTTTTTTTAGATGGGAAGACAAATACCAACCTGGTAGGCCAAAGTATGATCGTTCTTAACTCCTCTAGCTTTCAGTTCTTGCATTATCAGGGAAATGCACTCTTCCATCTGATCCCTGTATGGATCACCTGCATCCTCAACATAACTGACAGGCACTCCATGCGCACTGAAGAATATCATTGCCTAGATGTTCAAGATATAATGTATTACACCTAACTTTTTTCCCTTGGAATGTGTGAAGTAACACCAAATTTGATTAGAACTCCATGAGATTTTACATTAACTTAAATTTTTAGTCTTTCTTTATAAAAGTATATAAATACAGTAAGTCGTTGTGTACAAATAATTGTCTAAAATCAAGTCATTGAACTACCTTTTACTTTTAGGATTTTATTATTTTCCCTTGATTTTTCTTTCCTTCTAAATGTTCCCTCTAGTTTTCCTTTTCAATTTTCACCGGGATATTTCAGATCCCCAACTAAGCAAGAAAAAGAAAAATGAACACCAAAACATAGCATTTTAAGCACCCACAATTATCTTGGGAAAACAGTGTAACAAAGTAGCACACCTCGTCAGGCTTAGAAAATTTCTGCAACTCCTTCTCAATCAAGTCAGCCATAGACGTGATGTAACCTTGTCGTTGATACCAAGACTGTATGATAGCCACAGGCAGTCTACTCAAATATGGATCACTCCTGGATGCACCAAGGTTCATCATGATTACATTATTTACCAGTACAACTGTGCAAAAGTACACACTACTGCATAGATTATCTACTGAATATTTACCCAAAAAGATTTTGAAGAACACGGATGCTAGATCCAGTTGTAGAGATAGAGTATTGAGGATATAGGGGCAGCACAACAAGCCTTGTAATTCCATCCCTTTTAATCTGGCAGATAGCAGATAAATTAATTTTTTAAAAAAAAACTAAAAGGGTGTAGAGAGTAAGGCTTTTTCCCTAGATTTTTCAGTGCACCAACACACACCATTCTAAAAACAGTAGTGAAAATTTCAGTCCATTTTAAATGAACTGATGAAACAAACTCCCTCCTTCCCATAATTTTCTTCATTTTTCCTTTTTGGGAAGTCCCAAAGTTTCCTCTACTTTCTTTTTTGAATTGTGCAGTTAACATGAGAACTATGCAATTTTCTTCTAGTTTCTCTTTGGGAGTATTATTTCTCCCCCTCTGCGTAAACCTTAAGCGTACTGTTTCAACCCATCAAAAAGTGAGCCAAGTTAACAAAAGAAGACAATCATGGGATGTAAGGAGTATTTGCTTTTTTGTATTATCTAACCACCAAAAGTAACAACACCACAGGGGAACAACCAAATACCACATTCATTTCTTTCTTATGAAAAATCTCATATCAGAAATAACCAGCAAAACACTCATATTGGTTGAATGTTTGAATGTATTAAGAACATAGATAAGATGCTCTTTAGGTAACTAGAACGTCACAGGTTCAAATCACAGCAGAAACAGCATGTTGGCAAAAATTGTCAGGGGGGGTGCAGTGTTCATTTACAGTGTTCCCTTCCCCTACCCCCACAAGACGGGGAGCATTGGGCACACAGCGGCTGGCTATTTACTCTTGAAAACATTGCATTAAAAAATGAAATGAGTGATTTGGAGTATAACTTTTTTAATAATATTATTGCCTCATAATATACTATTAGAGATTTAGAGTAGCCTCAGTTCCACAAACTGACATTCCTTTGAATTTGGTTATAACATGCAGAATATTAGTGCGACATACACATAATATCATCTGCCAAAAGTATATCTAGTTACCAGCAGCATTTAATTGAACTTGCCTGTTGAACAGCTTCCTCAGTAAATGGGTGCCAGTATCTCATAGCAACATAAACATTAACAGAGACATCCTTCTCTTTCAATGCGAGTTTTAATGCATTTGCCTGGAAGGATAAAATCGTGGAAGTTGAAATGCTGAAACCACCATTTGTATCACAAAAATAGACAGATTTCCTTAATACACGTCACTCAAAACTACGTATGGCAGAGTACGCATACCTGCTCATCTGTAATTCTACGCAAAGGTGATCCACCTCCAATCGCAGCATAGCCTTCCTTACTTTTGGGAGCTCGGAGAACAGATATCAGTTGTGCTAATGGGCGCTGAAGGAATTGAAATAACCTGGGGAGACGTATAATATCCTGGTCCACAAAAGCAGATTTTCGGCATAATACAACTCCAAGCACCCATCACATTTAAAATTCACCTCGTAAAAACAAACACTACGTTTGGAACACAGAAAATATTAGGAAAATGAAAATTTCTAAGGGAAATAGTTTTGAATGTTTGGGTTTAACTTGGAAAATGAGAAATCATGTTTGATAATTAATTTTTCAAAATTCTACATGTGTTTCAATATCTTTACCTACAATAAAGAACCGTTTGGTGCACAATGAGTCCCAATGTCCCGCTTGGTGAAGGTTGGGGAAGTGTCCCCCCACCTCAGGGGTGTAATGCAGGAAAAACTTACCTTTCATTTTTACAAGAATGTGCTTTGAGGATTCAAACCAGCAACCTAACAGAAAGATACAAATAGAATGAATTTGGACAAATATCTAAAGTTGATTTAATGAGTTCGGACCAACTGTTTATTTTACCCAGAGTATTGTTTCCTTCTGATTTTCCCCTCCAATTTCTTTCCCTACCATTTTCTATTTTCAGATTCCAAACGAACTCTAAATGACATGGACAAAAAGACTAGCAGCATACAGGATCAGCAAATAAATTGAACAGGAATGGCTGAACATCATGAAGTGTATCTGGTCCCCCGAGATTCAAAAGAAGCACCCCAGTCTTTTCCTCTGTTGTATGCGAAGATAATTCAATGGCATTTCCCGGATATGTGCAGACCCCGGAAGAGCAAAATGTCTTGCCAACGTGACCTCTCTTTTGCGCTGCGCAATGTAAGGACAATCCTCCAAGTGCATGCCTTCTGTTAGCAGTTGACTTGGGAAAAATGCTTACAGAACTGCCACGCAAACGGCGTTCTTTTACTGGGAGGTCGACGGTAGGAATCAATCTAATCTTGGTGGAAAAGCTACAATGGTAAGAAACAAAGAGTTGCAAGTCGCAACCTTGTTAGGAATTACAAAAGTCGGAGCAAGCACATCATACTATCAACAGTGCCAAATACAATTATCTCCAGAAATCATTAATCAACACCAAATACAAAATATTTCTAGTGCAAAAACTGCAAAGTAAAGTGACAAGGAGTTGCAACCTTGTTACTGTATACCAAAGTTAAAGCAAACACATAATCGTATAAACAAGGTCTATAATAACTAATCAGCACATAATACAAAGGGATTACAAGCACAGATGTTCCTTTGGATCCTTTTTATTTAAAACCCAGATCGGTGATGAAAAAACATTGAATTGATCGCAGAACGAACAATTATAGCAGATCATCAGAAATTTAACGAAATCACAAACTCAAACACATGCGCTCAGAACAAGATACTGAAGATCGAGATAGAACGAAGCTTACGATGAGGAAGAAACTCCAGTTCCGAAATTGCGGAGGTTCGCTTTGGAAACGACGGAAGAGCCTGCGACTGCGTCCATGTTGAAGCGTCGATTCTTCAAGCGGAGGAAATTGAATGCGGTGTGATCTATACGCTGGGAAATGGCGTACAAGAAGGGTTTTAGGGCGAAATTTGGGCAAAGTCAAATGGGAAAAATGAAAGATGAATGGGGAAGACGACGTGTTAGAGCGAGCTTCAAGTCTTCAACGTTCAACTATGGCGGTGCAAATACTCCAAGCTATTACTGTATTATTTATTATTCGAGCAGGTGGGACAATTAAAAAATAAGAAAAATGATAGGGTACCACCACATGGGTGCTACCATGGGTGCACTCATACTTCGTACAGACCAACACATACGATAATTGTCTTTGTCGCACAAACAATTATCGTCTGTGTTTGTCTATGCGAAGCAGGGATGCACCCATGGTAGCACCCATGTGGTGACACCCTAGCATGGTCCTAAAAATAATTCCTTCATCAAATTTCCCAGTTTGACTTGTAAGTAATTAATTGTATGTATTTTTTTAAACAAATTTATTGTGTGTATAAAGTGGAGTAAATAAACAGAACAAACAAAAAATTAGTTCAAAGACCTCTAATTTACTCTCTTTAAAAAATTGATATTCTCTTCGTCCTATTTTAAGTTGTACATTTTTCTTTTCGGTCTGATTCAAAATAAATTATGTATTTTCTTTTTTGGTAAGATATTGTTGGAGACTACCCAAAATTTCCTTCTTGTAATTACTCCTCCCACCTACCCCTTCGGCCTTCACTTCTCATTTTGAATGCTCTTTTCTCACTCTTCCACCTTTTTCTATCGTCTTCCTCGTTCTCTCAAGAGCAACTCATTGTTCTCCTTTTATGTCGTCTTTCTTTGTTCTCTTCGCCTACACTTTCTTTAATCACTCCTCTATCATATTGTCTTTTTGGGATTTCCAGTTAATGCAATCCGTTGAATTTTAATCTAAAGTTTCTTCTACATCCATGTATGCAAAATTCAGATCTGCGATATCTTTGACTTTTTTTCACATTTATCATATTTAAACAATTTAATTTATGTTTTTCTTGTCTTTGTTGCGGAACGCATTAATAGATAGAATAGATTATGTATAATGATTTCTCATCCGCACTTCGGACTCATACGAATAAGAGCTTGAAGTTGCTTTTGATGAGATCCACATTGAAAAGCAAATGTCAATGTTGTTGAGGGAACAATTTTTCCAGTCCAACGTCCGGTCCACTAAATACACGTTGACCGGGTCATTGACCCTGTTCAACCAATCCAATCGATTAATCCTTGACCCCACTTACTTTTCTGGTTCAACGTCTGCTTTTCAGAACATTGAAAATTAGTTGAAGAGAATAAGAATGCCTTAATTACAACATGCCCTTATCATCACTTTCAAAACTTGGCTCAATGTTTTGGGCTCAAATACAAACACTCCCTAAATGCTCGTTTGTGACGAAAATATAAACCCTTTTATTTTGCATCATAAACGCAACTAATTACCATAAACTATATGGTTATATTGTTTAAAATTATTATAAGATCGTCTTTAAATTTTCTCCATATTAAATATAGTTTCATACTCTGTTTTTAAAAATGTGTTACATTAATCAATCAAGCCAAGTTTAAATCCGATCCAGGTTAGTCTGTTTTTTTTACAGTCACTAATTTGAACTTTGACGGTAGATGTTTTTTTCTTTGTTCATCAAATTCTTTGTTTTTTCTTTGTTCGCTATTTTTTTTCTTTTTCGAATAAGCACCACTCAGGTCAAGATTTGACAGTGTACTTGAGCTATATTTGGATAGTATTAAAACTACATACTACCTCCGTTTCTAAAGGATTAAGCAGTTTGATTTTTTTGGTCATCTTTGACTGTGAATTTCTCTTGTATGAAAAACATATATTTAGTTATAATGTAAATTTAGTAAAATTGGGTTGATTTTAAAATATAATTTTGGAATATCAAATTTTAAAATATTTAATTATTTTAAATTATATTTAATTCATGATCAATGATTACCACAATTTGACCAAAAAAATCAAATTGTGACAATTTTTTAAGAACGGATGGAGTATTAGCATACCTTTATTTTATATTAACATGTTTGGATAGCATTAAAAGTACATACAATGCTTGGTGGAAACTTTCTACTATTCATTTTGTATATTCTTCATTCAAATTTTTTTATCAAATACTTTTTAAGTACATATATAGTTTTTTTTACTAAAATTCAAAACGCATTGAGGTAATTGATATGGAGTGCTTATCACACAAATATTTTATATATATTTTTAAATACTAGATAAAATGTTTAAAAAAATTCAAATCACTTTTTATTTCTAAGATTTTTTAAATTAAAAAAATTTATTTTTTATTGAATGAAACAACTCAAGTAAATTAAGTTAAATTATAAATTTAGTAAAACATCAATTCTTTATTTATAAATAGAGGAAATATTATTTTATTAATCATATATTAGTTTTTTAATTCAATGCCATAATGTGTGTGTCTATATATATATATATATATATATATATATATATATATATATATATATATATATATATATATATATCTATTTATTAAAAATGTTTGAACCACTGGTTCGACCAGTGAACCAGTGCTTTGACCGGTTCGGTTCTGAAAAGTTCTGAAAACTATGATTAAAACTACATACTAGCATGTCTATTTTTTTATATTAGCATGTTTGGATAGTATTAAAACTACATATTAGCATGTCTGGATAGGATAATACCATGTTTTGATAGGGTTAAAACCAAAGATCGCCACCATGTTTGGTTAATTGGATAGGATGGATAATCCCCCACATCACCTTCCTTCCTTGCTTGCTTAGTACTTCCGGGGTATATAAGGTATTCTCATATTCTCTAAACTACCAATAAGCCATCAGCCAAACACATCACTACTCCACCTGTGAAAGCCCACCACCACTCTCTGCGCGCGTCCTGTAATATCCAATAATTTAGATTAGATTCCCATTTTATTACAGCACATCAAAAATAAATTATATTTTCCTTGATAAAAATACTCCTTTCTACTAAGTCAACACGTTTTTTTTTCTTTTTTGAAAAAAAAAAAATAAGGCTACATATTCTATGTAGTAAAATACTAAAATATACTCCTTCCGTCTCAAAAAACTTTAATTAGTTTACTTTCACGGAGTTTAAAACTGTGAAAGTTGAAAAATAAGAATATGTATGGTTATCTTTTGGGTTCTCTTTAATCAAATTGATTTTCATATTCCAAATTTTCAAAACATAAACAACTCAAAGACTCACTTGTGATCAGATGGGTTGGGCATGACTTCATAGACAATATTTGCAACAGCATCCCTCTTCATCTGCATATTACGGAGTATTCATTAAAAAAAATCAAATTTCAAAAAAAAAAAAACAAATGCGTAAATCGGTTAAAAGAAGAAAAAAAAAAGTCAGACCTGTGTAGCTTCTCCTTTTAAGCCAATGTAATGGATTTGAGTAACATCTGCACCAAAACTTTCAGGGAAATGCAAGGTGATATTCCCAACACTCTGGAACTTAGAATACCTGAATCATTGAACTAATTTCATTTAATTATTTCTATTATTATATAAAGACCACAAAATCTAAATGTAAAACCGAAGTTACCGAACATAAAAATAACTTTAATTAGCTTTAGTTTTTTCCACTCCATAGCATTTTCTAGAATCCAAGCATGCCCTAGAGTAAGTTAACACATTTCTCAAAGGTATGAGATTTTCTAGGAAGGTCCCGTCCATTGTGAATGTGGACTACATTTCTCTATTCTAAATAGAATAATGGAACTTAGGCCTCATTCAGCATCATTTTCTGTTTCTTTTGTATGAGACTTTGAGAAAAAAACACAAAACTATGAACACTATAAAAAGTGGTTTTGAGTACCTTTGTCAGCAGTTATCAAAATTAACATGAATAATATAATTGTGGCAATGGGTATTATATCGTATAACTTTAAAAATAATTAAACGGAAAACTGACAGCATTACAAATAAAACCCTTATTTTATAGGGAAAAAAATCTAGGAACAATTGACGTGGTGATAGTGCTCATAAAGTCCATAGGGAAAGAGCATTTACCTTGTCTGGTACTCTAAAAAGCCATGAAGATTTTCTGCCAAATCCCACTCCTTAAAAGTGAAAACCACACATTAATAAGAGCATATTAGTATATATGTCAATATGTAGTTACGCTATCAATTTCTACATGCCAACTGAAATAAACAAATACCTGAACTGGTTGCATAGATTGAGCATCTTCAAAGTCTATTCCATCTCTATTAACAAACCTGTAGTTATTTGTAAAAAAAATGTCAGTACAAGAGATGAACCTGCAAGTGTGCCATTGAAGGCTTACCATGTGTGTTGTTGGTGGACCAGTGCCACATACCAACAGCTCAAGGACCCAATCATCACACTCCATCCAAAAAAAAGTCAAGTTTGGTCAAGGTACACTTTTTTTAATGCACGCAAGGTACACGTGTTAAACATGATGGAATTTTACTTTCATTTTAAAGAAAACAATTAAAAGTTTTATCATATTGAACTTGCTTGCAACTTTTTTTCATATTAGCTCAGGTTGATGAGATAATTCACTGCAAATAACCAATGGATATGCATTAAAGTGGTAAATGAACTAACTTGTTTTATTAAGGCAAGAACAATACATTATCACTACACTGAACATTAGCCTATATATATTACTTGTACACTGTAAGAAGTGGAGTATATGCCATAAAGAAAAAAGAGTAGAAGAAATACAGTAACACACTAACACTCTCATCTTAGAAGGACTTTTTCCATCAGCACCACCAACAATTGCAATGCTCTTGATTTTAACATCTGAAGTAAATCTGTCATGATTGATTCCAACAAGCAAATGCATCCATGAGAGATGCAGTGATATGAAATGTGAGTGAATCATTTGAAAGAGCAATCAATAGTTTGACATTCAAAATTAATACAGAAATTAGCAATTAGATTGCAAATTTGCATGTAACCATTACGAGTAGTACTATTTCTTAAGACACAGAAGGTTAGCACTATTCACAGTACTGATCTCATCATATAAAAGATAAACTCAACACTCACGGGATGAAGACAATCAACTCAGGATCACCCTCGTTGCTCTCCAAGTAAGCCTGTAACAAAAAAAAAAGGTGAGAGTGCAGACACCTCCAATGGTTAATTTAAAAAAGAAACTTCCAAGAAAGAAAAGAAAGGATGGAATAAGGAAAAAAGTTCAATGGCTACTGAAAGAGTTCATACTTGGTAGTATGAGAAGCAAACTAATTGACTAATTATCTTAACTACATTTATGACATTTAAAAAAATATATGCCAACAAAGAAAAGGATTCGCAAAAAATCATTTTATTTTATAATATAATGGCAGAAGAAACACTTCATAAGTTATATGTACATGACAAACACATCACAATTATGCCTAGCAACACACCTTTCATTTGTGACTATGACTAAATTGTTCCCAACCTTGAATTCAAATTATAAGCCTTACTAAAAAATGTTTAGTTCTTAACAAGCCTAAACAAAAATTTCCACCAAACTTTGTTACTACTAGCATGCCAAGCTCAGATTTAGCACATTTAGCAATTAGCATCATAAATAGACTTTTCATAAACAGAATTATTTGTAAGCTTCAGAATTTCACATATTACAATGAACCAATCATGACCTTCATTGTGTAAGTTCAGGTGGTACTCAAGCCTACTTTAGAACTAACAAGGCAAATTCAAACTGTCACTATTCGTTGGGTACTACTGAGTTTACTGTTATTCCAGAAAAAAATAACATATTGAGCATAGAACACATTAGTCTTTTAATACGTTCAGATGTACTTTGTATTTAAAAAAATTGCTCTTGAACGCTCACTAGTCACTACTCCCTAAGTAGTCTCCAGCACAAATAAGTGAACTACTTACTCACAAGTAGCATAGTTCAATGACTTCAAATTATAAAGGGAAAGGAAACCTGAGTACCTCTGATGAATTCAGGCGCTGCTCCCATGGTTTGAAAACTGACTTCACACTTCCTCTGACAGCCTCATTCAGAGCAGTAACCTATTGGATAAGAAACATGAACCTATTTTGAGAGAGAGACACCATCCACACCAATATGCAGAAAGGAGAAGAAGAGATATAGAGAGATTATATTGAACTGAAAGATACAGGGTTCGTACATGAGTTTAAGCATCACAACAATATTGGCCACATGGTTTGGTATGACTTAACAACAACTATTTATAAATATACTGATAAGCTGATGGTAAGATCTTATTATCTATGAGCATACAAGTCCTAAGAAGACGTGCACCGCCTTGAGGCTAGAACATAAAAACTCAAACATTAACTTCACTACTAAATAAGCAGTAGGCCAGAAGAGGAACTGGAGGGGATCAGGCATCCTCCTTCTACAACAATACCAAACTATTACTCCTCTCTTGTTCTAGTATCACCCTTCTCTGATATTCTTCACTTCTCGTCTCATAGGGCACCCTCTCAAAAATTGTTCCAGTGCTGCAAGTGCATGTAAGCTAAGCTAAACTAAGGCTCAGATCCCTATCCTGATCGGCTTTTAATCCTTAGCAACATACGAGCAATACATAATGAGAAGAATAAGTAGCTTTTGACTTACTCACTTGGCTAAAATGGATGGTAACAAACACTTTTACTTTCAAAATTTCATGAAACACAGTCATCATATAACTCTTTCCAAAGGTCTCCCTCAAAAATACCAGGTAAGCATAAGCAAACACGATTACTTGAACTGATCGTTAACTCTATAGATCCAGTATCCAACAGATACTACAGTAGCATCATATGTAATCAATCCTTAACTACGGAGTATAACCTGTGTTACTTATAAATCTCCAAAAGCGAAGAGAAATTCAAACACTATCGGCATTTTCAATCGTAAAACAAAAAAACAAGTAAGAAATCCTCCCATTTCTAACGCCAGAACGATCAATCTCCATTGGAATGGAGTTCGGAACGAAGCAAAAGCAACAATAACACGCTCGGCTCTCAATACAAACACAGTAAACATAAAAAATTCAACGAAAACAAAAGTATGAGCGATGGAAAGAGAACCTTGGAGAGATCAATATGCTTGTAGAGAGACCAACTGGAAGAACAGTCTTGATCTCCGCAGTCGTGATCGTGAAGGCAAGCAGCCATTCTCCTCCTCTTCCCTCTCTAGCTTTCTCTCCAAGTTGAATCGACGCAGAGAAAGAATGCTTTCCAAATAGCAGTGCTTATCTGAAATATGTAGGGGCGATGGCGGTGTTTAAAGAATAAAGGCTCGTTTGGCCCAAACGAAGCATAGCCCATATACGGGAGTAATCAAAAGAATGCCTTTTGTGTTACATGCTCGGCATTGTTTGGTTTATAACTTTATATTGGCCCAGCTTCCTTTGTGTTCTCCTTAGGCGGTATACCGTTTGCCTTATCTGATCTGATCTCATCTGATTTTATCTGATTGCAATTAAAATTAAAACTAATTCTGATCTTATCTGATTATAATAAGAATAAATAATAAGCAGAATAAATAAATTGAACGGAACACTGCCTTATCATTACTCTGTATTACTCATTTCTTGTGTTTTGAATTTTTTGTCTTCATTACTATTCTAGACTTTTGTTAATTTTTATTTATTCATTAATCATTTGATAAAATAAAATATTAATGTCACATATTATTTTATAAAATTTTTGATATTATTTTAAAATATATAATTTGTACCTCTACTTTTGTAATTCGATGTGAAATGACATTTCTAGGACGAAAGAAGCATCATTTATTATTATTCGATCAGGCCAAATCAAATTATGAATAACTTTAAATATAACCTGAATAAAATCACATCAAAATAAATCAAAGAAGATCAGGCCAGATCTTGATAAATTTCCATTAGATTAAATTAGATCAAAGTGAACAAACTCTATGTTTCTGTCTTAGCAATTTTTGCATTATGTTTTGTTTAGAAAATTAAAAAAACAAAGAAAAATATCAAGGAAACACAAAGAAAATCTAAAAAGGACTATTACACCAATACACCATGTGGTTTGGTGAATATACATCGTTACCCATCATAATTTTAAAATTAATGTCGTTACCATCATTATTATAGTATTCTGGTGTCAATACCCCTTTAGACTAAAATATTCTTCAAATAATAATCAAATCATACACAAATAACTCTGCTGTCTCGTATGGTTTTAGAAATGGGCACCAACACTCCCTCTTTTTTTGTATTGTTGTTCTTTTTTATCTTTTTTCATAAATTTAAACTATTTTTTATAATAATTTAGTCATCAAATTTTGTGTTTGAAATAAAAATCAATTAAATAATATAATTAATGTACACTTTATTTGTCTCAAATTATTTTTTTGTCCAAAAGATGTCCTTATTAATTCATTTTCATGACACAAAAAATAATGAAACATTTTCTTTTTTTACTGAAGTCCATTTCCCATTTTTGTTCATTTTATGGGTTTTTTCTCTTTTTTAAATTTTTTAAAAAATTAATTTTATAAAGTTTCTTTATTTTAATCAAAATAAAAATAAAAGAAAATAGAATAGAAAAAATGAATAAAAAGAAAAGTATATGACAAAATACTTTTATACAATATGAAAAATCAAGTCATTAAAGAAATATGTTGCACATATGTCCAAGAAAATGTTATGAATATATAATCAACTAAATATAAAAAAAGATGCTAGTCTTTGTTTTTTTTGTCTTAACATATTTAAAAAATAATAACTTTTGTAGACAAACATTGGAATTAATTAATTTGAGATAAATGAAGTATGTGTTAATTTTTTTATTTCAAACACAAACACTTTTTATTTAAAAAAAAATTAAAAAAATAGTTTGAAAAATAACTTCTCATTGTTTTAAATGAATATTGGAATAATCATACTTCGTAATTTATCATCAATTTTGAATAATTTAACTTAAAATATTTCTTACACTATATCTAAAAACATTAATACATTAGCATCTTACACAAATTATATTTTTTAGAATATAACTATAAAAAATATTTGTTTTAGATTTTTGTGTTACGTTAATTTGATAAAATCTTAATAGTTTAAATGCACATTATATTATATTAGTTTGTTTGACTACTATTGTGGAAAACATGGTTTGTATGTATATATACATGTGAAAAAATTAAAGTGAAAGTAAAAACATTGAAAATATAGTAAAATATGACTATCATATTTTTATTTTTGAAATACCAAACATGATCATTTAGATTACCAAAAAGTATAGTAATATACACTTGTACAATGCTACATTATCACCACAGTGCGAAGTTCTATTTCAGAAATAAAAATAAAAAGATCATATTTTGGCAATTTTCTCTATATTTTAGTCTCATTTAGAGTGATTTCTATGTTCGAATCTTTGAATATCATTCGAATCGAATATACATATACTTGTATTTGTATATGTTTAATAGTGGAATGAAAACTAATATTTGATTTAAATTTGTATTTGGGACGGAAAGACAAATGATCTTAAAATTAAACAAGGGGGAGAAAGATACGGACTATAAATTGCTAGACTGAAACAGTATAGATTCTTGTCTAGAATTCATTGTCACATGCACGTAGACTTGAATTCGCTCACCGTTCATTCCGCACGCATTTTTGCAAGTAAACCACAAGTTTCTCCGTAGGATCAAAATCCGTCTAGACTCCAGAGTATGGTTAGTTTATTTAAAACGGTAAGGTTCCGTTGACACCGGATTCTAGTGTCAACAGATGACACTTGTTCATTTGGAGTTTTCTGATGCTCTGTTTGTAAAATTAATGGTTCATAGTCCTTTTAATCTCCTTCCTAAATCTCATACTGCACTCTCAATGCATAATAACCACACATTTGGAGGGAATAAAAGGAGATCTACGTGAGCGTGCGGGGTAAGAGCTGGGTGTGGGTGCCGTGGAGGTTTAGAAAGGAGGTTTAGAGATAAGAACCATTAATTTTACGAATGAAGTATCATAGGAGCTCCAAATGAGCGAGCGTCATCCGTTGATACTGCCGTTTTAAAAATTAGTTTTAGTAGTTGATAATTATTAATTATATTCAAACAAAATTTCTCCCGTCATATCAAAATTCAAAACTTGCTCCGATACTATGATAGAATAATAATGGTACGTTTTTCTTATGGATGAATTTAATTTGTAACCACGTGTTTGAAATTGTTGCGACTGAATCCTAGTGGCTAGTGCTAATTGAGCCAACATTGTAGCAAAGCCGTATACGCAATTTTCTACCCTTTCCCCCTTTTTATTCCCAATTTCTTTTATTCCTATTTTTAATGCTCCACAATTATTTTTAATTTGTTTAAGATTGATTAAAAATACTAACAAAAGAAATAAGAATTAGAGTAAATTATATCGAGTATAAAAAAATTTCCAAAAAACAAACAAACAAATAAAACCTCGAAATCAAAACCGATATGATTGAGAACCGGAGAAGAATTTTGGTTACGATTTCGCCCTTTTGTGAATCGGAAACAGATCGTACTGTGTCCACGCGACCACGCATACTCATACATAACATAAATATGTATCGCATCAAATTAAGGGAGACACAAAAAAGTTTATTTTTTAGTGTTATTGACTCTATTACAATATAGTACATATTTAGATTTTCTTAACTTAATGACGTATAAAGAATCAACATCTCTGCCTCCGCTAGATATCCAATCTGAGTGACTTTCTCATGAATTTTAGAGAGTGTGCTTCCTATCACTCAAGATATGTGAGACGTTTAAAAAAAGGTGTACCTTTATAAAGTATTGTACCTTAATTACAAGAATTTAAAATTAGCATATGCGGGTGTACGTACATCTTGCACCTTTGGTACAAAAATAAAAATTACAAATTAAATATTTAAAAATAACATCAAAATTTTTACAAAATAAGATGCAACAAGAATGTTTTTTTATCAAATGACTTACACGATTAAACAAAAATTATCAAGTATCACTTAAATAGTAAAAATGTTAATCATTTTGAGACGGAATTAGTAAAAGAATTTGGATGAAATATGGAATGTAATGACTTAAGTACAACAATGCCTTCCAAACTCCAATTATTTTAAAATGTTCATTGCCAATAATGAGAGGGTTGCCTTGCTTCAAGAAAACATTTTGTCCATGCAAACTCTACACGCCTCAAGCGCATTATTGCACGCATTTTTTTCATGAGAAATCTAGGCTTTTGGTTTGTTTTATTATCTTCACATATTCTTTATTTCTTCTTTTTAATGTATTATTATTATGACCTCTTTGAAACATAAAGGAATTTAGGTATAGTACATTTGAAATATATATGGCCATATTCACACAATAATTTTGATGTACGTACGTACCACGACATTCATTGAAAAATTATCAATGAATTAATCCAATTGAAGCTCAAGCTTTAGTTGAATGTCTAAAATCGGTTTTTATACTCAGGATTATATTACGGCCCCTCACATACAGACGTGACCGCTCCGAGCATTGCTCATGATACCTTATACTCCCTCCGTTCCACAAAACTTTTCCGCTTTCGTTTTTTTTGTTTTCCACAAAACACTTCCACTTTCTATTAAAAAACCACTTTTACCCCTACTTTTTCATACTCTACCTATCACATCATACTTTTTCACTAATAACCAAACTATCACATCTTACTTTTTCCCATCACATTAAGGGCAAAATTAGAAAGTCAACCAAAACTATATTTTCCTTATTTTTTTGCCCAAAGTCAAAATGGGAATGGTTTTGTGGAACGGAAGAAGTATTATTTTAAAATTGGGTGGCCTGGCAATGAATTTCAAACTCATAACTTATTGATCCACAAGGCTCCGTTATCATGTCATGCCAATGAATTAAAATAATTAATTAACCAAAAACTCAAGTTGTAATTACTCCTAGTTGATAACAGTTTTTTATGTATATTCTAACTGCAGTAAACGAATAAATTGAAATGATATAATCCTCTACAACTCCGTATTTATTTTGTTAAAAAGAGATTCACACCAATACTCGCAGATTTGCCCGATTTAAATTGACAATTATATTGCTCCTAGTTTCCATAGATGACATTGATGTTCACAAAATTTAATATTTTTATATTAATGCTCCCACAATTTTTACCCCGTGTCGTTGTAAACGTACAAAAAATTTATAAACATTGTGTCGATTATTGAATCCCGGAGTGTTTATGTAAAATCATCGATCGCGTGTAGACAATGTTTGTAGCTATTAGGATTAGAGCTTTGAGAAATTATTTTTAATGAAAATGATTAGTTTAAAAATTTTAAAAAGGCAAAGTTGGCTACAAATGAACGGCTTTTTCTCGGCCCA